CTCCAGGCCTTACACATCCCTGCCCACACCCCCTAAGTCTCCTGCAAGCCCATTCCATGTCCTTCTGTCTCCTGCTTCCACCTCCATCTCCTCCATCCCTTTTTCACACTCTCCCCTCTATTCCCCCCAAGACCTTGTATTGCCTTCCATTCTCCAACTCCCATGCATTTCTCTATCTCCCCACTCAACCTCCCCCTATCCTCTGCACTCCCTAACCCATGCTCCCATTTCAAGTCCACCCACATGTCTAACTTATGTACAGAGCTCCAATCACTGCAGTATATAGGAAATATCTCAGTACCCACTTCATCCCTCCTTCCACACCTTGCCAGTCTGCTGTCCTACTAGATCCCCTGCCACATGCACCCTAGACCCCTAGGAAAAATCCATGTCCCATGTGGTCCCCTGCCATCTCATTATACCCCCTTCCCTGTAAGTCTCAGTCTCCTACCTCCTTACATTCTTTTTGGTCTCCTATCCCCATCCAGGCTTTCCTCCTCTGGATCAACACACTTCTCTTCACTGTGTAATCCCAAGAAATAAGCTAAATCTAAAAGAAAATATCAGAGATCAGGCAAGCATTTATGTATACAAACAGCATTTTATTTTCACCTCTTAAAACATTTTTGTAAATGAATATACTATTTGAATAACTTTTTGGAAAAGGTAATGAATTTAAATGCCTTTTTATGATCTGTGTTCATTATCCTCTTAAACATAGTCATTTCTTCAACTTTTGCTAGCCATATACATTTTCACCATATATATGTAAGAAGTTTCCCTTTTACTGAAAAAATGACTCATATTTTTAATTTAAAAGAAGAAGAAAGCATATAGTAATTAGCCATGATAGTTTAAGGAATACAAAGTTTCTCTGAGAATAATGGCCAAGATTTTTAAAATTGCATCCCTACAGTTAGGCTCCTAAATCTATATTTAGGCACTTAATTGAGTAGCCTATCGAAAGTGCTGAGGCACCGTGAAAGCCATTGGGAGCTGCTGGGTGCTCCTTACTTTTGCAAATCATGCCTCTTACTTGGGAACCTAACCATAACCACCTATGTCTTTAAAAATCTCTTTTCAACTAATGTAATAAAAAAAAACTAGGTCTAGCCTCCGATGGAAGAAAGAGAGAACAAACAGCCCTTGTAGTTACCCCCACTCCCCCATAGCCCTAGGAAACACAAGTCAATGTGTATCTTGACATCATTTTTACCACTGCATCTATCCATTGGCCAGATCCCTTCTTCCCCAAAAACTGGTTTACATTATGGATTTCCATTGTTTATGTTAATGATTTGTTCAATATTTTTCAATCCCCTTTCTCTGTAAATAAAGGACCAACATGTTTTGTGATTTTTGTGTGAATTTCTGTTTAGTTCTGGAGTTAAAAATGATTGAAAGGGGCATTTTGAGGTGATTGGAAGAAGTATCTATAGAACTCATGGTCTTTCTAGCATTGTACCCAGATGATTTTCCAATCTCAAGAATGCCAATCTCCAAGCCGCACCCTTTGAAGAGACTGGTGGTGTTCCTAGTATAAAGGATACAAAAATCAAACTAGGATTCACTGTTCACTAAGCCATAGAGAGCCAAGTATAAGGCTCAGGACAGACAGCTCGGCAGGCAATGGAAGAAATCTCCAAAACCAGATGTATGGTGCACCAGTATCGTCATGTCATACACCCCTTCTGAATCATCATGATCATTTACTGTAACATAGCAGGGCAGATTTTCCACCCTCATTCATGTTGATTAGTACTGTTATCTACAAATAGTTCCATTGAAATCAATGGGACATCTCCCAGATTAGGATATTATTTGGCTTGAGTAAGGGCAGCTGAATCTGTCCCATAATGATTCTCTCATGATTCTCAGCTGCTGGCAGTAGGAGACTGAGGCTATGAAAAAAAGTTAGCAGGGGCTGATTTAGAGAATTGTGTTACCCATATTATATCTTTCCTAGCAATGGACTCACAGCATTTAGTTTTATGGTAACTATGAGTGAAGGTGCGCAAATGTGTGTGTTGTGCTGGCAGAGTTGTGTTGTTTTGTGTGTGGGTTATGTTACACTGGGAAATGTGTATGGGTGTGTGTGTTTGGGGTTATTGTGTGTGCTGGTTGTGTTATTGCATGGGTGCTTGTATCGATTAGTGTGTGGATTGCATTGTGCTGGGAAAGTTGTGTGGACTTGTGAAGGTTCCCAATGAAATTCACTGTTGATAAGTGCAAAGCAATGCACACTGGAAAAAATATTCCCAACTAAGCATACATACATGATGGGTTCTAAATTAGCTGTTACCACTCAAGAAAGAGATCTTGGAGTCATTGTGGATAGTTCTCTGAAAACTTCAGCTCAATGCACAGCAGTGGTCAAAAAGGCTAAAAGGGTGTTAGGGACTACTAGGAAAGGGATAGAAAATAAGACAGAAAATATAATGCCATTATATAAATCCAAAGTATGCCCACACCTTGATACTATGTCCAGTTCTGGTCGCCCCATCTCAAAAAGGATATGGTGAAATGGCATGGCAACAAAGATGACCAAGGGTATGGAATGGCTTCCATAAGAGGAGACTAAAATATTAGAACTGTTCAGCTTAGAAAAGAGACAAGGAGGATATGATAGAACAGTGGCTCTGAACCTTTCCAGACTACTGCACCCCTTTCAGGAGTCTGATTTGTCTTGCGTACCCCCAAGTTTCACCTCACTTCAAAACTATTTGCTTACAAAATCAGATATAAAAATACAAAAAAGTGTCACAGCTCACTATTACTGAGAAATTGCTTACTTTCTCATTTTTACCATATAATTATAAAATAAATCATTTGGAATAAATATTGTACTTAAATTTCAGTGTATAGTATATAGAGAAACATAAACAAGTGATTGTCTATATGAAATTTTAGTTTGTACTTCACTAGTGTTTTTTATGTAGCCTGTTGTAAAACTAGGCAAATATCCAGATGAGCTGAAGTACTTCCTGGAAGACCTCTGCCTACCACCAGGGATATGTGTACCCCTGGTTGAGAACCACTGTGATAGAGGGCTATGAAATCATGAATGGTGTGGAAAAAGTGGAGAGAGAAATGTTATTTACCCTTTCCCACAGTATGAAAACCAAGGGTCACCAGATTAAATTAATAGGCAGCAGGTTTAATATGAATAAGAGGAAATACTTTTTCACACAACACACAATTAACATGTGTAACTCTGCCACGGGATGTTGTGATGGCCAAAAGAATGACTAGGTTCACAGAAGAGCTGGATAAGTTCAGGGAGGATAGGTCTATCAATGGCTATTAGCCAAGATCATCAGGGACCCAACCTCATGCTAGGGGTGACCCTAAACTTCTGACTGACAGACGCTAGAAGGGAAAGACAGGGATGGATCTCTCCAGAACTGCCCAGTTCTGTACGCTCCCCCTGAAGCTCTGTCAGCTCTGGCCACTGTCAGAGACAGGATACAAGGCTAAATGCACCATTGGTCTGACCAGTAATGCAGTTCTTATCCATTTAATAAACTGCAGAGCTATTATGCAAATAAATTTATCATGCACCTTTGACTAACTTACCTGCTCTCTGCCCACTACTCCATGTTTCTCTAGCACTCCTTTTATCATCCTAACTCACTGAGCAGTTTCAAACAGATTCCTTGGGATGAAGAGTTTACACTAAGTCAATTTAGGACAAAAATATTTCTTCCTCCTTACCCAAGTTTTCTCCACAAATTGCACCTGCCCAAGATGAAAAAGATTTAAACCCAGCCTAATGACACCTAAAAGTGTTATGCCTTGAAAATCCATTATGTCATGTTATTGTAGAGGCAGAAACAGGAGCTTTATCTTGTTTATCCAAGAGGCCTGGGTTCTATTCCCAGCTCTGCCACTGGTCTACTTGGGTGAGTCACTTTACCCGCTCTGTGCCTCAAGTTGTCCATCTGTAAAATGAGGAGAAAAACACTGGCCTGCTTTGTAAAGCACTTTGATATCTATGGATGAAAAGCACTACATAAGATCCAGGAATTATTATCATCATCTCATTGGGAAGGGAAGATTCCCAGCTTCCCACAGCACTCACATGGAAAGATATCAAGATATCAAAGATGCTTGCTCTTTTTAAAAAAAATCCATTTTGGCATGTATTGTGTTTTCCCTGTTTACACACAGTGATACTCATGGAGTTGGAAGCTGCAGCAACAAAGTCAATAGGAGTCTTGTCAGGGACTTCAATAGATGCAGGATCAGACTCATGGTAGGCAATCCTAGATGTTTATTTTTAAAATATATAATATGATTTTGGAAATGTTGAGTTGTGCTCTTAATTCGCCTACACACTTACACATTCCAAATGTTACCCTCACCCTCTCGCCTCATTCCCTCCTGCTATTTGTTACATCTCCTGTTGTATCTTGTCTGTAGCTATTGGAGGACAAGACCTCATCTTACCACGTGTCTAATACATAAACGTATGTATGATATATAGTGTCAAAGGTAAATAATTGTCAAAGAAGTTAATTAAATTGCAGTATGTATAGTGTTCTAAGGCTGGGATTTTGCAACAGGACCATATTAAGTACCAGTAGTTTCAACTTATTGTTAACATTTGTCCCTTACAAAGCTACCCACAGCAAAACCTTACCTTAAATTCACCAGCCAAGGGAAGCTCCTTCCAAAAGCATCTGTAACTTGATGAGGATGGTCTATGTTGTATCTCAAGAAACAAAGCACATGATCTCTGGGTAATTGACTTGAGCCTTGATTAACCCCAAATCACTCCCACTCCAAGACATTATACAATGTAGTGCTCTATCACATTTTGAAGCACAAGCTGTCATTGGAAAATCTGTCTTTTAAAATATTAAGTATAAGTGACTATCTTCGACTCAAGCAAAGCCAGAATTTAAGCTCTACTCCTATAGCTTTTCTCCAGTACATAATATTTTTTAAAAGAAATGTGGGAAATATTTGATAGCTACAACTTGCATGTTGTACACATGAAATCAGATGACAAAATAAATACCAGTATGTTTAATAAAAACAGAAAATATAAGAACATAAATCAGGCAGAGTTACTTTATGCTCTATTTACTCTCCAAGGAACATCACTATCTCATATCAGAAGTCACAGGATGCATGACAGGATGTAAAAAAAAAAGACAAAAAACATATACTGGCATCAATTTCCCTTTCCCCCTCCTACCACAATAGTCTGAGTTGTATCAGATGCTATCTGATAGTGGTATTTCCTAACTGGCACTGACCTGCTTTCAGATACAAGACTGCAGTTTGGAATTAGTTTTACCCTTAGTGTATTTCACATTGTCCACTGTATACAACATTCAACAGAAGTACTCAGACCTGGAGCCCTCGCTTTTGAAGGTCATCTGAGAATCCATGCTTGACCTAGAGCAAAGCAGAAGTCTTTCTGACTCATCAGTGTTTCTTCGAGTCCAGAGCTCTCCTCCTGTGCCCACTGAACGGGGCTTAAGGGAAAGTGTTTCAAATTTGACATAGGTCTCTTTTGCAAGGTCAGCTTCCCTAGCAGATTTTGGTTTCCTGTGAAGTTTTAAAACTTTATAGAGCAAGAAAAATATCAAAGGTAGAACAATCACACATGCCACACTGCTAGTCATGACCAAAATGGAAACTTGAGACCCACTCTCATCGTTTAGTCCATCAGTGGAGAAAATAATGCATTGATCTTTTGTAGGTGGGACTCCTTTGGGACAGACGCATGCCATGTATTGTGTTCGTGGCTGCAAACCATCTATTGTGACTTTGTTTTTGCTGGGATCTGTACTCAGAGGCAGCATATCTTTCTCACCATACTTTGAGTACAATACAGTCACTGCAGAGTTGCTTGTGGCATTGATGGTTTTCCAAGTTAAGGTAACTCTTTCATCCGTTTCACTAATAACTTTTAGGTTCTTTATGGTGACGTTCTGTTCAGCCAGTGCTGCTGCATTCAATGAAGTCTCCTCATCTTTCTTGCTTGTTTCTTCAGACTTTTTGTTGTTTCCATTTGTTACTCCCTTTGAACTTTTTTTCCCATCAGCCGTGGACTTGGATTGTTTTTTGTCTGTAATCTTGGCACTTGTTGCCCTTTCAGTGGTAGCCATTGTTGTGGGCAGCGATGTTAAGGGTGGAGGAGGTGTGGTGCTTTTTTCAGATTCTTGCTTGGCTTCCTCCTGTGTGTTATTTTGTTGCTCTGCTTCAAACTTCTTCCCATACTTTTGTGGTGACACAGTCGTAGTGACAACACCAACCACAGTGACAGTAACAGCAGCTTCTGACATTCCCGCCAAATTTTTGGCCTTACATCTGTAGTCCCCTGCATCCTTGTATGAAATCCCAGTCAAACTTATTATGGACCATCTGACACCCTCTCCTGGAGTTTCTTGAATTACTGAAGGAAAATGAAATGCATATAGTAAAACAGTGTAACAGTAACATAAAAAAAAAAGGCAAGGCTATGACATTACCCCTTCCATGCTTTTGCTATGTTAGAAAAAACCATTTGAACTGAACATATTGTTTTTTTAAACAACTTGCAGAACTCCCTGGCATATGATAGTATTGAAAAAAAGAGTTGAGGTCTGGTGTACACTACAGACCTACATCAGTATAATTACATCACTCAGGGGTATGAAAAATCCACACTCCTGAGCGACATAATTATACCAACCCAACACTCTATGCAGACAGAGCTCTGTCGGCAGGAGAGCTTCTCCGATTGGCATAGCTACCTACCCCATGGGTAGGTTATTGCATAATTACCCATTATGGGGCTTTACGCAACTGTCTGAGGCACTATTTTGGACTACATAGAGCACTGGTACAATCCCATAGGACAATTATTAAGTCTATCACATAATCCAGGAACTTTATACACCACCTCACAAGGGAGGTTAAAGTCTAAACTTGTATTGGAAAGGGAATTATCCTGTTTCACCTAAAGGTAGCCCTCAGGTCAGGCTTGGATCATGTGGCTGGAGTAAGAAGCAGCAGCCTGCACTAACCAGGCTTAACCTGTCTTGTGGACTGAACTTTCCCAGAGCTGTATATCTAGACCCCTTAAGAGTGTACACACACACACACACACACACACTTTTAATTATTGTAAGCTCCAAAGGTGAAAGACAGGCACTGTAATTAATTAAACAATTGTAATGTATAACATATCGATTTTACAGATGTGTCTCCACTATTTGTGTGCTCTACCATGACAGTTGTGACATGAACAGCAAAAGCAAAGAATTTTATATATAGCATTCCAGTTACAAAAGCTCTCCAAATTTTGGAAAAGTTTGGATTTGAATTCACACTTCAGAGTTCAAACCCACCTCTACAGAATATGTAATCATCAAAATACTTTGAGTTATTAAAATAATTGAGTTCTGAGGCAGTTTAATTTCCAGACTTTTATAGGAGCTGCAGATTTTATATATTCACTAGCTTCCCCTACTCTCAGACCCTTACTTTTTCTGTCTTTCCTCTTCTACAGTTCTTCTTAAATCCTAAAGATAATCCTTGGATGCTAACCATGGTGCCATCTACTGGCAGCCTCCAATATTGCACTCTAACAATTCATTTCCACTGATATGCTTATTTTGTTTTAAATGAGTGATATTAGCTTGCTGCTTTGAGTTAAAAGAATTTTTCATAATAAATATAACCATTTATTATTGTGGGCTTACAATAAGTTGTCATACAGTTTCATTCTCACGAATCCATTACTTAGAAATAAGAAAACTTCTGAATTGCTAGATACAATTACTAAAATTGGCTGATATACAAAAACAATATCAGATATTCACTGTCTCTTTACTGTTCAGTATGGACATTGGTGGTAAATGACCAAAATTCAAACAAACTAATATTTATGACGAAGCCAATACTTACAATAAAAATTGCTGTGTTTAAATAGCTCAGTTATGGCTGCACTGGCTCTTTTACTTGCATTTTGTACCGGAGACAAGCCAAAACTGAAATTTCAAGTCCAAACCACCCCCTCCAATTTTGGGATCCTGAATCTAAGCCTCCTACCCAGTCTTGGTTCCACGTCATGTTCTGAATTGGAAGTGACCTGTTTGCCCTGTTCATGTTCAGATATGGATGAATTTAACACAAATAGGGGCAAGGAGATTCTGGACCCAAACGGGAGAACTATTGTGAGAAATATCTGGCCTTGTTCATTTTTCACCATTCATAATAATGATCTCAAAGATCATTTCCAAGCACAAACGATCAATGTTTCTAGGTTCTCAGATTTCTTAGTAATAAATTATGAAATACCTGTATAGTTCACCGGTAAATTGTCTGACCTGATCCAGGTAAGTTGTGGGGTTGGATATCCAGTGGCATCACAGCGTAGCAGTACATTGCTTCCCAGAGGCGATGTGATTTTTGTTGCTGAAGTCATCACTGATGGTTTAAGACACTGTTCCAGCTCTGCTCTCTGGAACAAGATACCTGCCAGGCTCTCAGGTCCACTACAAGCCACAAGAGGATCCAGAAGTACAACAGAGGTGTCCACTATTTTGGAAAATTCAATTAGCTTTGAAATCCGACAGTCACAAAACCATGGATTGTCCTGCAAACCTTAAGCAGAAAAAAAACCGTATACACTTAGTTTCAAGCATTACTTGGATTTCATTATTAGAGTGGGACATACCATTGTGTCTAAATGCTAATAGGGAGAGTTGTGTGCCTCTTTTAAGTTCATGAAATATTTAATTTGTTCCTTATATACTTTTTTTTTTGAGGTTCAGGAAGGAGGGTTAAAGCTGTTTTGTTAACATTTGATAAACTAGATCTTTTCCCCACAACCACCTGCACAGAAAATGGTACATGAGTTGACATATTCTACACTAAATTGTACCATTTTTTCATTCCTTTGGAACAACCTCAGAAGGAGCAGCCTTGGTTAGCTGCCAAGTAAGGTGTTTCACCAGCATTTGGCTTCTTGGCAGACCCTTCAAGTACAAGTAGATCTTCTAACAGCTATGGTTGTCTTTTGACCTCCACTGCTCTCCTTCTTTCCCTTCATTGAGCATGGAGTTTTCTAAGCTTCTCTTTTCTTTTCAGGCACCTTTTTCAGTGCTTGGATTCTGGCTGAGGAGAGAGCAATGATAAAAGTGTTTATGACTTATACCAACTCTTCTGCCATTGAACAGAGATGGCTTTAAGCCAACAAAGTTTAGATCTGGATCTGAACTTTCCCAATGTTTAGGGGTGTTTGGATTCAGAGATCTTGTTCAGGCCAATCTTTTAAATACAAAATATTTAAAAGTTGTGGAGGGATGCAGAGAGAGAGGGAGGAGGGCAGAGGAACTGTCAAAATAATTAAAGGATCTTAGCATTTTTGATGGCACACAAGGACCCTGCCCCTCCCCATTTGACTTCAGACTATTTGCCCTTTGATTATGAAGAGCATAAGTGAGGGGACATTTCTTCTATTATTGAATTTGATTTCAGGTGAATTACATTGGCCATTTTATAGTAATATAGGTCCAGCTCTTATATTGGTGTAAGACAGCATAGCTCTGTTGACTTCAATAGAGAAATATCTATTTATACCAGCTGAGGATCTGGTCCACAGTGTTTCATTCCTGCCTTTAAATAGCTTCTGATTTGACTTTAGATCTTTGTACACATCTCCCTGGAACACTCCATTTCCTTTGAATATTAACAATAAATAGAACTAATTCACAATGCAAGCTATTGTTGTAGGTAACACGGGATAGCCTCCAATGCTATGATGATGGGTGCATTAAAAGTGAGCAGGCAGATATAAAATAAAAGCTACTACTTTGCAGTGAAAACCTATAATTACTGGATACTCTGAACAGTTTAGCAAACCAGTCATGACTGAAACCCAGATAAGGAGACATAGTACACAGCTCATGATGTGAAAAGATGCATTAACTTTAGGAATAATTAAATAAAAAATTGGAATTATTCCAGGTTACCAACACCTTTCTTTTTCCCTGTCTGAATATTTCATTTGCTTCTAATGTCTTTGCATTTTTAGAAAAAATCTGTAGATGTAGAAATACATGCTTCCTTTAACCACCAGACCAAGATTAGGTTATCTTAAGCACAAAGTCAGTGATTGGTTAAGACAGTGGTAAACCCTGACTAATCTCACCCTTTAAAACAAGACTTGACCTGAAGAGATTCCTTGACTATGAGTTTATGACATCACAATCCAATTGTACTCCTTCCAGACACGAGTGATTTTAAATCTATTGACTAATTACCCACAAGAAAAGGAATAGGCAAATCCAAGAAAACTGGTTCAAGTATTGTATTTTAAAAAGCTAATCGCCAAAAAGAGAGCGAGAGAGAGCACACACTTCGGAGATTATATATAGCTTGAGACGTGTATATATATATATATATATATATTATATATATATATATATATATATACATACACACACACGTCTCCAAAGCTATATATAATATATATATATACATACACACACACACACACCCTGACAACCTCTGGTGAACTGGGCATATATATAAAAATACATACATAAAAGACCAGTTCACCAGAGGTGAATTTCAACAGGTTTCCTCTAACATCAGTCCATACTTAAGATGGGAACGTGGGTAAAACTAGCAGGGGAAGGAGAAGGTCAATGTTCTCAATTTCCAGCCTACTCCCTTAGTACATAAGATGTACTTCCTTCCAATTCATATACGCAGTACAGGTGTCCCAGAAGCCATTAATTGTAAACAAATCCAATGTAATGCCCCTGATTCCCAGGATGTCTAAATGTACATGTCATGTAAGGATGTTGAGACCATTGTGCAAAGTAAAGGTGTCCAAGAACATAAGAACGGCCATGCTGGGTCAGACCAAAGATCTATCTAGCCCAGTATCCTGTCTTCCGACAGTGGCCAATGCCAGGTGCCCCAGTGGGAATGAACAGAACAGGTAATCATCAAGTGATCCATCCCCTGTCGCTCATTCCCAGCTTCTGGCAAACAGATACACCATCTCTGCCAGGGTAACTTAATGTTACTTACCCACATTTCCTAAATATACATTTCCCACATATTGGAAAATTTGTATGTTGCTGAGTTGGGACAATTATGTCTCTTTAAAAAAAAATTAAATAACCTAAATCACATTTTTTAATGGTCTGATCCTGCAAAGTCTTACTCGTGTGAGTAATAATGATAATAGGGATTTGTAGGATTAGTCCCTTAGACAGGTAAATTATTCACCAATATGACTGAGTGATTGAAATATATAAGCCTATTGTGAAATTTTTAAAACATACAAAGGCACACAAAAATATCAACAAATAATTCCACTGAAAGCAATTATGGTAAAAGAAAGTGAAGGTTGTAGGATTAAGCACTTAATAGTCAAGCACCTCATATGCAAATGAGATTCTTAACTCAAATTCATTTCTCACTAATCTGTCCATGCTTTGAAAAATGCTTATTAGGGCAATACATGGTTAATGAAGTTTGTGTGACATATTAATGCCGTGTAGTAAAAAAACAACCTCCTACTTAGAGAGACAAGATGGGTACAATGTAGTTATAGCCTTGACTCTCTAATATCCTGGGACCAACACAGCTAGAATGACACTGCATACCCCATCCTGCTTGTGCCACCAATCTCATTGCAGAGAATTAATTGTAAGACAGCTTCTCAGTGTCCAGGGAACCCCAGCATGCTCTGGAGCACACTTATTCTACTGAAAGTGGTCCTAATGCCACAATCCTTTTCTCGGGGAATGCTCTCCCTGAAATCAGTGTAAGTTTTGACCGGAAGAATGGCAGGATCAACTGCAGCGTTTGTTCCTACTGCTGTCAAAAAACACAGATTCCAGACTGACAGGAAACAATGTTTCTCCTAGTGCAGCGGTCCCCAAACTGGAGGAGTGTTGGGGGAGGCCACAGGCCAGGCCAACCTCCCTCTTCCCAGGATGGCAGGGAGGGAGTGCCACCCAGCCCCCTGCTCTGCCCCCAGACTCGTTCCAACCCCAGCAACAGCTCCACTCCACCCACAGCTCCACTCCACCCCCAGTCCAGCTCTGCCCTCATTTCTCTCCACCCCCAGGCCAGCTCCCCCTCTAGACCCAGCTCCTCCCCCATTCCCAGTTCTGCCTTTAGCCCCAGCTCCTCTGCTGAGCCAAATGTGCAGTAAGGGGGCATGGACCGGTTCCATTACTGGTAAAGTGGGGCATGGCAGGAAACGTTTGGGCACCACTATCCTAAAGGAACATACCACTATTTCAGTTGCACAAGGGGAATTCTTTTCCCAAATAAAACATTCAACGCACATAAAATATATGCTAGGATAAAATCTGAGCTGTAATAACACATTAGGGAAGCTTCTTGTGAAATATGTTGTCTCATTTGAGGTATTGATGTCAGGATTATTTGAGCTTTGTTTTGTGCTGCATTAACCTCTAATAGTCATTGCAAAATTCTTATATATAAGGTAAACACTTAAAGATGTGTATTACTCAAAAAGGCAACTAACCCTAATAACCTGTTGAATTCTCTGCCACTGGAAATTATTAACATTTGCAGAGACAGAGTTTCAAAGTCAGGCATGTGCAACTGTACATTGACCTTTGAACATGACTAACTGATGCCTGGAAATAACTGGTGTTCACGAACATGTCAGATACAACATCTGAGGGTGCACAAGTTGAGTGCCTGCTGTCCATGTGTGAATGCACAGATATTTGCTCACAAGTCCAACTCACTCAAATACACAACTGCATGTTTAAAATCTGTCTAGTTTTATTTTTTAACTGGTCTAGAGGCAGATGCTATTCTTATTCAGAGAAATGTCCATTCCTGCTTGATATTTTACAAAATGACCTGTTCTCTTCCCTCTGGACTGGAGAAAAAGAGTATAAGGAGATGGAAGTACTCCTAAGATATTGGAAGCGGCTGCTCCTGAAAAACCCCTTAAACGCCAGCAGCTTTCCACAGTAGTAAATTATGCTAAAAACCAGGTTAACTCCCCTATAAGACCTCTGTTCTTTCTGGTTCAAAGAAGATAGAAACATACAGCTGAGGGGATGAGGTGCAGTGGGGAAGTGAAGTTCAGGCATCAAGAGTAGGGTGACCAGATGTCCCAATTTTATAGGGACAGTCCTGATTTTGGGTTTTTTTTTCTTATACAGGCTCCTATTGCCCCCAACCCCCTGTCCCAATTTTTCACATTTGCTGTCTGGTCACCCTAATCAGGAGACCCCAGGATTCTCAGAGTTAGACGTTAGCTTTCTGCATGGACCCTCAAGATTGGTAGGGCTAGCAGCTTGTCTCCCTTCACAAGATGGCTGAGTCCTTCTCCCCATAGACAGCTTGTAACAAAACCTCTTTGGCTGACTTTTTCCCTCTTGCAGGTTTCCCAATAGGAAGTTATGACTTGCTATTTATTGCTCATATTGCAGTAGTGCCCAAAGGATTCAATCCAGATCCAGACTTCACTGCCTGAGGCACTGTACAAACAAACATGAGACAGTCCCTGACCCACAGAGTATAAAATAGAAATAGACTGAGCAATGAGTGACAAACAAAAGAAGAGACAGGGAAGCAAAGAACAAGATAATATGGTTACATGGTTATTTAGGCTAGCCTTGAGGGTTCCAGATCATTTGGAAGCACTGGATTTTGTGAATGAGGAAAACTGTAGAACTCCAGACCCACTCCCCTTGCCTCTTTCCCTACATATAAATATACTCCTGCATCTGCAGGTAGAGACGGAGGCTCTTTTCTTAACATCTTCCATAAGAGAGACAAAGATTTTCATAAGTTATCTAATTAGTTCTGAGATAAATAGTTGTTTTCACTGCAGGCAGACAAAATGCAGTTATTTAGAGTTGATTCATTAACATTGTTTCAGTTCCACGGGTCCAACATTGACTCTGAGGAGGTAATCTCCTCATTCACATGATGGCTATTTCCAGCCAGTTATGAGCCAGGATTTTCTTCTAATATGAAACCAACACTTAAAATTGTTGCACAATAAGCATTGATTTGCCATACATAGATATGGTATGGTACAAGTAGACAACACTGTACAATGAGCAACTGACAAAGCTTCCTTCCTAATGAACCACAATGGAGTTTCTGTGCAAATGGACAGAAAATGGCAACATCCCACAAAGTGTCCTTATCTGATTCATTTGGAGACAAGCCTCGATGCTGCAGTGATCACAACAAATTCAAATAATTTGCTTCCTCAGTAACTCATTGGTTATTCATCCCCATCAATGCCTAATAACAGCCCATAGTTACAGTTGTGAATTATAGACTCCAATGTTTATCACAGAAGAATACAGTTATGAGGTCCCTCCTTCTTGGTAAACAGAGTTTCCCCTACACCAGTACATGCTGCTGTGTCAATATGGACTTTAGCTTAGAGGCGAGCTATGTAGGACATTTTCTCTGTAAATCAGTAACCAGCCTCAGAGTGTAATTAAATGCACATTATTCCCCTTTTACGAAATCCAGATGTTATTAACAGGTGATGTTTCCTCCACCCCAGCTGTGATGTTTCCTCCACTCAAGGCTCTCTGTAACTGCAATACCATCTGCAGCCCCTGCTGCTCAGCTGGGGTTTAGTCAGTGGCTTCACATAGTAAAAGATTGACTGGCCCCTTTTCCCACTGGCTCCCTGTGCTTCCCTCTCCCCACACTGCCACACACAGTGCCATGGAAACAATCACTACAGAGCAGACCCCAGGAAGAGCCGAGTCTTCCCAACTGCTTGGCCAGCACATTCTGCAGAAGCCTGGTGGTTCTGCTGAATTCAGGGTCCTTGGCATGTGGGAAGGCAACCAGGGCAAGATTTCACCCAGCGCAAACAGCAGCTCTATCATATGCTGTATTCCCTCGTCCTCTCAATGGCTCTCTAGGAGGGAGACCACAAGGGGAATGATATTACCCTTGTGCATGCCTCAGATTTCAAACCACAGTATGCTCCTGCAGCCCTGTCCTGCCACCATAGACTTCGGAGGGAGTGGGATTGAGCCCTTGGTGCCCAAATTGACTGAAGAAACATAAGGAATTAAAATGCGTCAAGCAAGGGTAAAGTTGGGGATTACTAACAAGCCTAGTGAAAGGCCAGGTTCTTCTTAGCTAGACAAAAGCAGCTCCTGGTTTTCCAGGGGCACAGTCAGTCACGTCGCCTGAAGATTTGGAAAGGGAGCCTTCTCCTGCACTCTCTCCTCAGGTTCACTTATGACACTGCAGCTAGCAGAGCCTTCTAAATGTTAAAAATCACTTGGTTTGGGTTTGAGTTTTTGTTTTGTTTAAACACACCAGCGAATAATCTTGTTTTCCTGATTCTGCCAACCATTGCTCACATTGTGCAGAACGCTGACTGCCATTTTACTGGCAACATTTCAACAACTTGACTTTGCTGTAAGTACTGCTAGGAAGCTCTGAATTTCAGCTTCGAGTGACACTATGCTTTCAGCTAACAAGCCAGCTAGAGCTAGGGCACCTAACTGGATGCTCCCACAGGAGGGGGACAAAGTACCCAGGACTCTCTGCAGGTTCACTTTGCAGAATTTTCATCCAGAGAAGGCAGAAGGTGCAGAGAACTGCAGATCTGTGAAGAAGTGAAGCTTTAGCCCAATGGTCTAAATGGTTTAGTCAGCTCCTTTGGCCCCTTCTTATTCCTGGCAATGTGGTTCCTGCAGGAGAAATGCTACCATTAGCAGGCCAGCCTCTCTGAGAGGTGCAGAAATGTAGCCTTAGTTAGCACTGATTCAAGCAGAATTAATTAAGGCATGGAATCCAAACAGATACTCACCACCTCTGGGAAAGGGGAAAGAGCTACACAGAACAACTGCTCTTTGGTTCCTCTCCCAGCCCCAAAAACCTCAATGAGCCCCAGCATATCTTCCACGGGACATCAGACAGGGCAATGTCACAGAGCCACCAGTCTCCCTTTTTCATGGTTCCTACCCAGAATCCCTTCTGCTTGGAGAAGTGAAGAAGAGGGTCAGGCTCATATAAATCCTACTCAACATGATACATTTTTAAGCAACAAAAGTACAGCAGGGAGGGCCTCTCTCTCTGATTTTGTCACCAGATCCTAAAATCTATCAGGTAGTAACAGCCATGCCCCTCTGGCACAGACCTGAGGGTGAGACTCCTGCAATGAGTGTGTGTGCTCATGCGCGAGTGTGTGTGTGTGTGCGCGCATGCCCTCGCACATGAGTGAGAAACACAACCAGGGCTCCTGGGCACTACAGTAATACATTCAATAAAGAGGACGAAAAAGCAGGTTTAGTGGGAAGGGGATTATGGGCTTGTCATGGAACAATCCAAAACACAAGCAGTGTGACACTTCAGATCTCCAGAGGTTCACATTCAGATTAATTATATAACAATCATTGTCTGATTGCACTCTAATAGACTCACAATAAATGGCTTTGGTAATGACTGGAAATGAAGTGAATCATTCACAGCTAGCCTAATTTATAGTTGCTCCAAATTCTACAAAGAAATCATCATTTTATTTTCAGGGTATTTGACTTCAGTATGTAAGTCTGAAGGTAGGTAATTGCATACTATCTCCACAGAAAATAGGATCCAAAAACTAGAGGCAAATTGGCGCCTGAATCCAGTGAATCTACTGCCCTTTCATCTCTGGAGATACGGGTTCAAATCCACACTTGGTTCACAAATGAAAATGAGCTAAAGGTCTCATGCTAATTCCCCTGAGGACATTTTTGCACATTATAAAATCATCGCATAACATGGCACAATCAGTCACGTGTGCTCAAGGGAATACAGGTGCTAGGGCTACAAGGCTTGTCAGGATTAAAGCCTATTGACAAACTTTGCGAGCACTCAACCAGATTCCACTATCTTTGCACAGCAAGGGCAGCGCAAAGAGACTGGAAGTTGGCTAGATCTCCCAAGATGAGGATTCTGATATGGGCAAAATCCTCAGCAGGTTTAGAGCTGACATACACAGCAGCTGGGAGGTTAAATTCCCAGCACGGGTAGATAGACACGTGCTAGCGCTGCTCGAGCTAGGACTTAAAAAGAGCAAGGTTGCCTCAGTGGTACGAGCAGCAGTTCAGACTAGCCGCCTAAATGTATAGTCAGGGGGTCAAGCAAGAGTGTGCCAGGGCAGCTAGCCTGAGCTACTACAGCCAAACTAGCTCATGCAGAGCGAGCATACGTATGTCGACCTGGAACTGCACGTCACAGCTGCTGTATAGACATACCCATAGCCAGCTCCTACTCTCCTCCCTCCTGTAACCATCAGTGTAGAGGGAGTGTGCAGGGGTAGAGACAGAACACACTGTGCTCCAGCCATCACCAGGTGTGTAGATTAGAGCAGCCCTCACCTACGTGAAGGCTGGTTGTCCCAGGATCAGGGAGTCACCCCCTGCTCCCACATGCAGTCCATCCCCTCCGGACACGCTGCATCCACAGAAACTGAGTGCAGTGGAGAATCCCTCACCAATTATACCTACTCCTACATACAATTTTTTTTGAGCACCCAACGACCAACATATTATAAAAAACAAGTATTAGCCAAAATATTTACAGAACTGATGAGTGATTCCTGTGGGCCACACAAGTTACAAAAAGCTAAGTGTGTTATACTAACATTTTAAGACATGCATTAGTATTTTCTACACAGTGTTTGTCCCAAACATTAGCAGTAAAAATATTTAAAATGAAGAGCAGGCAGCAATCAGCATAGCATAAGCAGCTTCACACTATATTTTAACTAACATATTTGCATTGATAGAACAATATTTTGCATGTTTATAGCATCTTTTATCCTGAATGATCCCAAAGCCCTTTGCAAACTATGGCCTCAATCCTGCAAACACTACACTAAGCTGCTTCCCTTTTAAAGAGAATATTTTGACATGTTTTATGGAGATATACCTATACCTATCTCCTAGAGCTGGAAGGAACCCTGAAAGGCATCGAGTCCAGCCCCCCCTGCCTTCACTAGCAGGACCAAGTACTGATTTTTGCCCCAGATCCCTAAGTGGACCCCTCAAGGATTGAACTCACAACCCTGGGTTTAGCAGGCCAATACTCAAACCACTGAGCTATCCCTCCCCACAAATAAGGAATGCAATGGCCTCCTGAGTTTACCTAATATGACTCTCTGTGCTGCTGGATCTGTGTTCCTGGACGGTGTAGCTTCTGAAAAGGGGGGCCAAATGTCCATTAGGTCGGATGGCAAGGTGGTTAGTTTGTTGCTGGATATGTCCAGGTAGGTGAGGTTTCTCAGGTATCTACCAGCCTCAGACGGAATGCTGGTCAATTTGTTGTTATGTAAATCAAAGGTTCTTAAATTGGGCATCTCCACAAGAGACTCCCAAGGGAAACTTGACAGCAAATTCCCATCCAGACGCAACTCATGCAGCTGCTTCAAATTATAAAAGCTGCTGGCATCAATGTTAGCCACACAATTGTAGGTCACCCACAGGTATTTAAGGTCCACCAAGTAGTAAAAGGCTTCAGTGGGGATTCTTCGTATGACAGTTTTTTCTACGCGAAGTTTTACTGTGTCCACAGGAACATTCACAGGAATCTCAAACATATCAGGGTCATTACACAGCACAGACCTAGCACCAAACAACAAAGAGAGATCTGTATTTCATTACCAGAGACTTGCATCTCAAATACATAAGTGCTAATACCTTTTCCACCACCACTACTGCCAAAATATCAGATCAAGCGCGATCTTCTATGTTTAAAAGATAGTAACAATTAGGAGGTGGACTTTCTTTCTAAAGAGAAAATAAATATAAAATAGCAATGATACTGCTGCATTAATTCCAGATAAATTCAAATGCTACCTTTTACCCAGTCATTTTAGGGCCAGCAATGTAATTCAAGAACAGAAGGATTTTATTTGTATTTTTATCATTGAAACAGGAGATTCATGACCTCCGTTTTAATAAAAAGTCTATAATTCTGTGTGTCACTTTTTCTAATTTCTCTTCAAGTGTGGAGATATCAAATATTTAAGGCACGACGGTAAATATATTTGTGGAACTTTACTTTGAAAGTAGGTTGAAGATTACGAGAAAAAAAAAGGAAAATTTTTCAAACTGGGTGCTTAAATTTAAGATTCTAAATCCACAGGTAGTCACCTAAATAGAAATGGCCTAATTTTCAGAGGTTCTGTGGACTTTCTACTTCCATTGACTTCAGAGGTGCTGGGTTTTCTCAGAATCTCTGAAAATTAGGCCATTTCAATTTATTTTAAGTTCATACATATGGATTAAGGAGTCTAGGCATCCAGGTTTGAGAATTTTGACCAAAGTTAATGTCTCTCCTTTCTCTCCATATAGATGCTGATTTATGAAGAATATCTCTTTTCCTTTCTCCCCACCAGAACTTTGTATGAGATATAGTACAAGAATAAAATTAGCTGAAATTGTAATTCCCAAATGAGCAACAATGCAATGTCTAGTGCATCTGCTGTAAAATATTTCAAAGTGGTTAAGCTCTTTCTTTATCATCACACTTTTTCTATTGTCTAACAATGAAATAGAGTAAAGAAAACTTTTGCATTTATCTAAAACCAGGATTACCATACCAGGGCTAACTGGTTTGAGAATGGAATTTTCAAGGAAATATCGACATTTAGTAAAGTAGAGTGCAGAGAGAAGTCTCTGTAAAAACTGAAGATTTAAAAGGCGTCCAGCTGCTAAGTAAAAACCAATAAGACAAGACATTATTGCTACCTGTTAATATCCATGCACATTGCTTACCATGTAAAGTGGCCTAAAAATGGAGTAAACTTCCCCCTTTATACTTCTAAAAAGTACATGAACTAAAACTACACAGTCTGCACTCATCAGTGGTGTCAGAGAATGTTATTCTAAATTTCCATCAACCTATTTTCCTATCATTACGTTGTGTAATGGCAATAAAGAAAGGCATACCTTGTTCCAGTGCCATCACTTCTGCCATGGTAAATGCAAGTGCATTGTGAAGGACAAAAACTGTTTACCTCTTCAAAAAAGCTAATCATGATGCATAAACAAACAAGCAGATACATGACTACCTCCCAGCAAAATTGATATGAACAAAATCTAAAAACTTTTATTCCCTGGCACTCATGTGCTGTGTGCTATGAATGTGAATGTAGACATCCATTTAGTAATAGCAGATTACACTGGATTAGCTGAGATCTGTAGCTACTTAACCTTCAAATGTATCCTTAAAGGGATCAGTTGAACCAGCTTGTTCTTTATTATGTCAAAGGAACATATTCTGTTAAAATTATATCTATCACATATCAGGACATAATCTTTATAGTTAATTATATTGAATACAGATTTTCTAGATATATTTTGACATATCCCTTTACTTCACAGGGGTGTTGTGCAGTTTAGTTAGCTAATATTTGTAAAGCACTCAGATTCTGGAAGGAAGTGTACTATATAAGTGTAACATGTCAAAGACAGTACTAAAAGGGGCTAAAAGTACTGAAAGGGGCATATTCTAAGACTGAATAACTATACAGTGCAGACTGTACCTGCATTTTAATATTAAAAACAGTCAAGATTAATAGCACAATGAGGTTTTACAACTTTTTTTAAACAATTTTTTCAGGCTTTACCAAAAAGCTTAAATATGTTTAAATAATAGTTGAATTCTGAAAAGAATACAGATGACTTCATATAAAACTTAAATGTTAATAAAACAGTCAAAAAATAAACTAATTTTTGGTACTATCTACTGATTGTCAATTGATAGCACCAAAAATATCACGTGAAGTGAAATCCCCTTAGATTGTGCTTTAAAATGTGTGTTCTTCATTCTTCCTTGAAACATTAGAATGCTTGCTTTTTAGAACAGATTAGCGGATCTCAGAACAAACTATATTCTCTCTCTTTATTTTATTGTTAGTGCAAGGTAAAGAGTTCAACATCCAGCATTCCAAAAGGGTCTGTATCACTTTAAAAAAGACACAGGAACTGGGTAACAGGAAGTGAACTCAATATGTTAAGTAGTTGTAGTTGGATGAAGCAGTTTTAGTTGAGATCGACCTGAGTGTTGTTCATATTTTATATTACCAGTAGACAAGATATTTATTCTCCAAACATCAGAAATACCAATATCAAGTTAACTACCACCTACAATTGAATCTTTGAAAAGATATTCATCCCTTCAGCCCTGAATAAACTGATTCCCAAGATGGCCAACCCTAGGCATTCAAAAACCATGAGTCAGGCCTCAAAAATCCTGAGATTATCTTAAAATAATAAATTTGGGGGTTTTTTACTTGCCTTTTGGTTTGAACTTTTAACATGTGCTTGGGTCACATTTTCAAGATTTTTCTCTGCAGTCACAAAGGTTAGAATCTTACTATTTTAAAAATGAAAGCTGAGATTCTCACATAATCACTTGGCTCCAGGAGCCAGAAAAACACCAAATACACCTCTACCCGATATAACGCTGTCCTTGCCAAAAAGGCTTACTGCGTTATAGGTGAAACCGGGTTATATCGAACTTGCTTTGATCCACCGGAGTGCACAGCCCCGCCCCCCTGGAGCACTGCTTTACTGCGTTATATCCGAATTTGTGTTATATCAGGTTGCGTTATATCGGGGTAGAGGTGTATCGCAAAACTGATAAAGAGAGTTGGCAACATTGGAGTTTAAATACGCCTGCATACTACAGTACTCATAGAAGCAACCTTTTCAGGTCAGATCAATCTGCGTTTGAGACATGGAAGGGAATGCAGGATACAGTAGTACTGTGCCTGAAGTTTTGGGAACTGGTTTAGAGTTCAAAGGGGGAAATTACACATACCAAAAGAATTATCCATACACAACATTTATTTCTGTTACTGTAGCACAATTAAGCATGTCCTGCTTTATTCTCCCTCCCACACCATTTTATCCCACTATCCAAGAGATGCAAAACACACTGAGCTTTCACGATCGCCTTTTGAGAGGGATAAGCATATTATGCCAATTGGCCTAGTTTTCAGTACTAAAATCTTGGGATTTTTAAAAAAAAACTGTATTAAATATTATTGAGACAACGAGAAAAACAACTGGCATGTTGGACTGGATTATTATTACAGTGTGATACAAATTTAATTGTGGCCCAGGTTTGACCACTTTTTTCCATGTAGTGTACAAAACATATACTATAGGGTAAATAAAGTGGCAGTGCTTTCGATCAGCCGCGTTATGTTAGCGTGCTTTGAGAGACACTCATTGGTAAGGCGTTATTAATAGTTATCTCCTGCCGAGTCTGACATCGAACCATTGCCAGGATTGCTCTCCGGAACCTGCAATGTGAGGAGGGAAGTAAAAAATCAGATGATTAGAGGCATAGATAAAGAAGCAAAAACAGAGATAAATTAAGATCAAATTACTCAAATGTGCTATAACAATAAGGCTTATTATTTTCATAAAACTTTTAGAATTCAATTAGTCTCTAGTGTCTTCCTCTGCCAGTGTAAATCAAGAGGAACTCTGCTGAGGTCCATGGAATTGCATCAATGTGAAACTAGCATGAGTGGAATTTTGTTCGAGTGACCTTACAATCCATTTTTTTCAGGACAGTCTCATTTTTCAAGTGGTCTGTCTCAGAAATTTGGCTCCTTAAAATGGGATACCAAAATATCTCATTTTATCATCATCTCCTAAGTTCCCTGTAAGCTGCGCAGCCGCCTATTTAGCACCACGCAGGCAGTCAAGGAACCCACCCGGGGACCTGCCCCCAACCTGCTGCAAGAGGGGCGCCCCTCCCCCGGCCCCAACTCAGCCTGCGGCCCAGACCTGCTGGGGTGGCTGGGGCAGCGCAGGCCGAGCCACAGCGGCGGCTGCCATCCCCCAGCCCAGACCTGCTGGGACCAGTGGAGGGGTGCCTATCCTGCAGCCCAAGTCCCAGAGTTCCTGTGGCGGGGAGAGGCGCCTCTCCCTCCCAGCCCAGGTGCTGCTGCAGGGAGACAGTCCTGGGGAGAGTCCTCTCTCCCCACCATAGCCCTGGAGAACCATCCTGCACCCCAAAGCTCATCACCTCCATATTGGTGCACATAACAAAATTCATTCTACACATGGGTGGAAAAAATTAGAGGGAACACTGGTCATCTCCCTAGCAGGAGGCACAGGTGCAAGCTCTAGGACTCAATTTAACTTGGCCCTAGCCCCTAGGGAGAGCACCCACAGCAGCACCACCACCTGCGGTGCTTGGTGGACACCATGAGTCAGGCCAGCACAAGTTGGGCCCTGTCAGCACAACTGCATGATAAAATGTAGGGAGATGAGTGGGTGAATGGAAGCATGCTGGTTGTGTAGTAAATGAGGGTCTAGGCAAAGGGCAGATCTAAACCAACAGAGTTGGAAAGAAGAGTCAGACCATATCAACTACTCAGCAGGAACAGTTCAGCTCATCTATATGGATGTCCCAGACCCTGCTTGCAGGTTGGGGAATGTGAAGGGAAGGATTCCTGTGTCCCCAACCTCTGTATACTTCCGAACCACAAGCAAAACCCTCTTGATTTTAGCTATTTTTGTGAAACCAGGGATATGTCCCAAAATTATTATCTCAATTCAATATGATACCTATGCTCAAAACTGGTATAGTTTTATTTTGACAGAAGAGGAGCCAGCTGTGACTTGTAGGTTTGCTCTTAATCATCTCAAACCACTCCACTATGACACTGCCCAAGCCAAGCAATGATATCCATGGGAGTCACTAAGGCCCAGATCCTCCAAGGTATTTAGCCTCCTAACGTCAATGGAAGCTAGGAGGCTAAATACTTTGAGAATCTCTTGAGGGTAAGCAGCCATACGTTTAGCCAGTTTAATTAAAAGCGGACAGTCCCAGATTCAGATAGGACTCAAATTTCACCCCGATCCCATCTTGGCAAAGGACATTATCTGAAATTGTTTTGCAAAATATTTTTATGAGGATACAACTGAAGATATCATGGAAATGTTGTCAGACACCTTCAGACATATATGGTGCAGACACTACCACCTATCTTTATTAAAACCTGTCCAAAAGATCATTGAACCCATCACAGATAATTCAGCACTGGTTTAACCTTTCCATCTTTGTTAAATATTTTGTCATATCTGACAGAAGGTCTTTCTGCACAACTAGGATGCCCAGTAATCATAAAGCAGATGGAGGTTGTTAATTTAAAAATGGGACACTTACTTTTTGTTTGCAATGACATAAATACAGGGGTTATAGAATGTGGAAGATTTTGCAAATAGAGGTGCTATGATGGCCATTGCAGGGGAAATCTTCTTTGGGTCTCCAAAGGAAGACCATAAGCATACAATGGAATATGGAGACCAAGCCACCAAAAACATCACAATCATCACAACAGACATCTGTAAAACAAGAAAAAAATGTTTGATAGACCAAACCATTTATATCTGCTTACCAATATCAAAATCAAACATTATATTTATTTAAGAATTAAGACCCCGCCCCCATCACCTTTGTTACATCTACTTGATCAGACCAGTCTATGTTGATGCTCTCCAGGCAGTTACTGGTAGTGTACTGCTTCATTGTGCGGGAAACATTGTAGTAACAGTAAAACATGACTGTTAAGGGCACGACAAAATTAACAGCAATTACAGTCATTGTATAAGAAACAAAGGACCTGTAAGCCAAAAAATAAATACAAGGTATTACAACTATGCAGCCATGAAAAATGACTGAAAAATGCATTGTTCCCTTATGTTTTAGTGTTAATAATACAGTCAGAAAAAACATTTTCAAAAGGTAAGTACAATTTCTTCAACTTGATAAGATTTATTAGGCTCAGTGACCCTTACACCTAGGATTCCTAATGCTTTCCAATGTCAAGAATTCTTACATCCTTTTTTGATTTATTATAGATTGCTTCAGTCTCTACTTCTGAACTGCCATTGTCTTTTAGAAGTTGCATGGCATGTTCTTAGGAGAAAACATTGACCACGGTGATGAATAAAAATAAGTGATGGTCCATATTTGAAAAGTAAAACAAAGTTTTTAAAATCTTACACATCATTTTTCCGCCAGTTTATCGTGCAGGTGGCTCCTGTTGGATCTGGGGCATAGCTAGCCCACCCTACAATAGGCATCAAGGCCCAAAAGACAGCATTTATCCAGGCAGCTAGGATCAGGGAAGTATAGTTGCGGGTAGTCATTCTTCTTCCTGTTACCAAGCAAAGATTTTTACATCAAACCACTCTATTCTTTTACTTCTCTCCAAGGTTTTATTTGAACCAAAAATGTTTCCAAGCAAGACAATTAGCATAGTAACTATAAATGATCCTTACAAGCACCTGGCACACTGCAGCACCCCCATTTTATTTAAGCTCTCCTATATCACAGATAAATGACATTTAAATACACCCAGAAGAGTTGGAATACATCTCTGCATTATCACACCTTCCCCCACACAAAGCTTAGCAATAATAGATGTTGCTGATGCCATATCAAAGAATTAAGAGAAAGAAAAAGAGCGGAGGGATGTAGGGAAAATGAAAGAATTAACCATTATAATTTTTAAACCCATAATAAAGATCAAGAGAAAAATACAGTATAGAAAACAAACAACATTAAGAATACGCATCAGCTTCAATTAGTATTCTTAGTATTATTCAATTATTCACCTGAAGAAGAGCTCTGTGTGGCTCAAAAGCTTGTCGCTCTCACCAACAGAAGTGAATCCAATAAAATATATTAGCTAACCCATCTTGTCCCCCCTGCTTCAATTATTGTCAGGAAACATTCCACAAACAAAGAACTATGGCTTCCTTCTATATACATGCCTTTGTTAGCTATGTATGGGATAGCTCACATAACCAATTACTGTAGAACTGTGCCCAAATTTTGGAAGTATGTTTCCACGAGAGGAAATAAAAGAACTTGCATAAAGGTTCATAGATGTCAACTAATAAATGATTAAAATGATCATTTTTGTGCAAGAGTTATATCCAAGAGTACAGTACCTATATCAGGCCTGCAGATTGTCAGGTAACGATCAATTGCAACAACTGTAAGCAACCCGATACTTGCCATTCCAAAAAAGATATTTAAGGCAGCATAGATCTGAAATTTAAAAAGATAACATGTCCATTTCATTTACTATTGCAAATGCTTTCAAAGGTTTGAATCTTCTCCTGTGTCCTGAAGCTAAGTGTTATCATGAGTTGTATTCAATGCATTCTTCGATGACCAATTTGTTTAACAAACTATTAACAATTTGAGTTCATTAAGTAAAACTAAACATGTTAAGATAAGTGTGCTTGCATACGCCCTCATAAATCCCATTGAGGAAGTTTGCCAAAAGCCACCATTTATTTTAACTCATGTTAAATAATGAATTTCATGATCCTGGGATGCAAAATTGTTTATTTTTTATCTAATGTTTTTGTTTCATATTGGGGAAACACAAACAACATTTTTCTTACTGCAGAAGTTATAACCAGATCAGTTTAGATCAAGTTGAGTTTGGAGTCCTAAAGATCTTAAGAACTCAAATTAAGGCACAGTGGAAACTCTCAGATCTGATCCCAAAAATATAAGTAATCCTAGGTGCAATCAAATGAGGGCCCTGGATCGCTGGTGAATATTGGCTGAATTTTGAATTTGAAATTAAATCTGCAATCAGGCAAGTTGTGTGTGATTTCAGATCTTGTTGGGAGCATTCTGCTGTCCTGTTTAATTTTTTACCAGACAAATATTTTCAGGGTGTATAATTAATATTACTGCTAAATACTCATTTCCTAGGTAAAAATCATATTTAAGTAACTGCATGCACAGTCCGCAAAGATTATTACATTTCTGCTAATGATATAATGTTTTTTGGTGACAATTTTACATGAAGAGAGAAAAATTGTGCAAATTCTAAAATAAGATGGCCGTTTCTTTGAATACTTACCAAGATTTTCAAGATGACTAAAAGTCCATTTTATGGGTACCTTAATAGACATGCCTCAAAGAGGCCTGATTTCTGAAAGTGCTAAGCTCCCACCCTCTGCCAATCAGATACTTTAAAGTGTATCAGTTTGACCACCCTAAGATTGAGGCACCCAAAATCACTGGTTACTTTGAAAATCTTGGTTACTGAGTGGTGAGAAGCATCCATGAATTCTACAATAAGTAATGGGATTTACTTTGTTATAGCTATTTTAATATTGTATATTTAACATCAATACAAATTTATGCTTCAATAACTTTCCAAAGTTTAAACAATGAAAATTAGCAATGAGTCCTAAGCAACTCCCCAGATCCAAATACCACTGAATTTTAAGGAAGTTCAGATCCAGACCTGGACCCAAACTTGCAGCTCAGACTCCTCTCTAAAGAACATTAAAAATCAAAGGAAGGTATTTTTCATATATTCAGGTTTGTGTTTAATTCTTAGTACTTGTTTGGTCCCTGATTTAATATAAAAAATCTCAAATACCTGGCATCCGGTGTATCCAAATTTCCAGCTTCCATGTAAGTCTGAAGCAGCAGACATAGGATAACCAATGCCACTAACACCGATGTCGGTAAAAGCCAGGTTAATAATAATTGCATTTGTTGCTGTCCGAAGTTCCTTGTACTTAACAAAGATGCCTAACACAATTATGTTACTGAGAAGGCTTATTACCCCTGTGAAAACACAGAAAAAGGAAGCCTTACAAGTGGCAGAAATAACAACACAGTATAGGTCGTAACAAACCAAAATACATATTCATAATGAAATCTAAATATAGAATGGGTTTATTTTAATCTGCAAAGATCATATTTAAGAGAGAGCTTTCCTAATTTATAGACTCAAACTCTGATTCACCAAGGTCTAGAAGGACATGATTAATTGTAAATACTAAAGGACATGCTTTAGTATCTTGCTGAATCAGGGCCTCGCTATCTCACAATGGGTATGGCAGGGATCCAGAATCTCTCAGACTAGAATCTTAAGAGCTCAGTCCTGCAGAGGTATCGCTGAGCCTGCACTAGCACTGCTGAACCAGTGCAGTGTCATGATCCAGCAGAATTAAGTACACTGAAAGGAGTGGGTGCAGCAGGCTGGTTGGGCTGGCAAAAACGCTCTGGCATTGAGCAGCTGGCTGTGATACTGCTTCACAAGATCCACATAAAGGCTTCTGCTGTAAGCCCCTCACAGCAACTGCAGTAACTTGCTTTCTGCTAAGGACAGCTCTGCAGCAGAACTCTAAAATAATGAAAATGGCACAGGATTTGCATGTGCTAAATTATGAGCAAGCTAGAGTGCCTTGATCATCCGTCTCCATTCTAGGCACACCCACTTCCTCCCTGCTCATCAGTGCTTAGTTCATTGCAGGCATAAGAGTTTGCTCACATGGTTGAACATTGTATATATTCCACTCTGTTAAGTCCAGTCCTGCTTCCTTTGAGTTCTCCAATTGACTTCACTAGTGGTCCATGGTTGGACCCAACGTGAGGGCCTTTCTGCACAGCAGCTTCGTGCTGAGCACTAGCCCTTATGCTGGAGACACTACTTTCAGTGTGCTCGGCATGCTATCTACAGGATCAATGGGAATGAAGTCTCCATTTTCTCCTCTCTCCGTTAATGATTTCATTTAAAACAAAGCACCCTAATTTTTCCTATATTCACAACCAGTAGGGACAGCTTCACAGTGAGCATCAGTGTATGGTTGTCTCATTGAATATACAGCCAGAGAAACTGAAACAATAGCACCTATAGAGTTCTGAATCTTAATGGAGTGTTAACTTTGAATCTTAATTACTAGTAATAAGGTGCTTGGCACACACAAGCATGCACATGAAATCAGGCCGAGTGAAAGCTCAATGCTATGCTGTTCAGACTGTGAAAGGCCCCGTTTCTCTTGGGTAGTGAGATAAGATCCAGTTCTTGGCTGTCAGTTACTACCCTCCTGGATCTCAGAGCAGATATAGTCCTGATCCTCCAATGCTGTACTTTTGAGTCTCTAATGTACTCTTCAACATTCCTGAACCCCAAGAGTTAATCCACTCACTGAGATCCTCAGTTCCTCCTGCTGCTCCCTTCTGGACCCCAACACCAGTGTGATTTATGACCCCGTTGGCTCCCCTCAGTTCTGACAGACATTACTCAACTTCTGCTGACTCTGGCATACAGAAAGGAGAAACAAACTCTAGATTTTTAAATATTGAATACTGCTCCACTGTCTCTGCTCATGACAGTGCAACAGTGGTCAACCAGTTCTCTGCTACTGGTTTACAGGAAGTATTGTGTATGTAGCAGAGAACAGATTAATTCTCTCACCAACAGAGGTAGTATAACTGTAAATGTTAATGGCTTCAAGCACCTCAGTTTATATGTACAACTCCCACTGGTGCTCAATAAGACATGCCCACAATGCACAACATGGGCAATATAGCTTTAAGTATACAAGTTACCTGTATAATGAGTAAACCGTTATATCCACCTATATAGCCATGACACATATACAATTAATATGGAAACAGGAGAAAAACAGTAACAACTTACATATAGGGATAGCAGTGGTGAAATCCTGGAAAAGAGCCTCTAAAAACACAAGTACAAGGCCAACATTTCAGTTCTTAAATGAAATGGCTAAATTCCATTTGTGTAAATCAGTGACATTTTATTATACGTGTGCCTCATTGTAGGAGTTCCACTGCAGTGTATCATTAATTAGTATTAATCACCTATATTACAGAAACTATCATATTTAAATCAAACACTTTAAACGCAAATGTAGCAAAGTCTCGTTGATTTTTCAGCTATATTTCATTCTTTTTATTATCACAAGCTGTTCGGAACATTAGCAGCTATCAGAGTGGGCATGTGTTCAGACAGGAAATGTTTCCTGTACAGCATGCGTTTAAATGAATAGAAGGTGCTGGGAGTACGTAACAGTACTGAGGCCACATATGTTTTGATGATTACCAATAGCAGGAATGGCACAGCAGCACAGACTATTAAAATGAAGGAAAAACTTATCCAGATTCAGAAATAGCCATAAGGAGCCTCCACTTTGTTCTGTGAGAAGTCTCAGCATGAAAGGATTACAAATTCTCAGATTTCCTCAAATAAACCTTGTGATATTTGCCACAGTCAAGGTAACAGAGCCTTGTACATTCCTTGATCAAGAACAGCAAAAGGAGCTCCCCTTTCTTATTCTTCTTGCTAAAGGAGGGAAAGAAAATTAAGGCAGTCTCTTTAGGCAATAGAGCAGGACCCTGTTACTGTGAACTTAAGTAGAATGTAACTCCTGAATAGTTACAATGTTTTAACTACAAAGGGAGTTTGCAGCTTCAGTTAGTGATCCTTCACTTGTAATGAAGCTATTCTGTGACCATGAAACTTAAGATGGTTCCATTTCACCATTGTGAGCAAGCTACAGAGACATAAATGCTTTCAATGGTTTGAACATACCAGTGGTCAACATTAAAACAAAAATAACCACACTGTAAACCAAGCTCTAGCAGTTATTTCCTTTTCAGAGCATGGCGAAATATCTGCCGATGCTGATACTGTAGCACAGTAAAAACAATGAGGAGTCTAACAGAGACTAACAAATTTGGGCATAAGCTTTCGTGGACTAAAACCCACTTAATCAGATGCATGGAGTGAAAAATACAGTAAGCAGTATTTATTACAGCACATGAAAAGATGGGAGTTGCCTTACCAAGTGGGGGGGGGGGGGTCAGCTAATGAGGCCAATTCAATTAAGGAAGTGGCCTTTTCTCAACAGTTGACAAAAAGGGGTGAATATCAAGGGAGGGAAAATTATAAAAGTAATTGGCCTCATTAGTGTCTAAACTGCCACAAGGACTCCTCTTGTTTTTGCTAATACAGACTAACACGGCTCCCCCTCTGAAACCTGTAGCACAGTAGCTATTGATAAATGTTGACTTAATGATGACCACTGTATCTGTATTTCCTTTGTATCTTCTCCATCTGCTAACTAATACAATGAGGTTAAAGTCTTCCATTGATGAGCTCTTCCTCTCATGGCAATGGAACTGAATTACTGACCAACATGTTCAAGATGAGAATTTGTTAGAATGAGGTGTTCAGAAATGGACCAAACTAATTGGCACAAGTTCCTGCACTAAACCTAGGTTCATACTACAACTGCAATCATTGCTAGCACGGCTTCCCTAATCAACTAAGACAAAGTAACGAGAAAAAGAAAGAAAAGAAAAAGATTTTTCAGCTATAGTTATTTCAGACCGTATTCGTAACAGTTAGTAAAACATTTTCAGACAGAAGTGTGAATATTGGGTAGACTATGTCCCTTTAACTCAAAACCCAGTACTGTAGGTTTACACAACTGGCAAATATATACAACAGACCCATTTGTAGAGCCCACATGTCAGTTGCCAGGTGAGAGAGAAAAAGAAAAGGTTTTTCCCTTGCTAATCTCTGTATCTCCCCTGTTAATATTGCTCTTCATAAAATGGTCAAACTATTTGATAAACCAGACATTGATACAACCCTAATTCAGTCAATTTGAGTTAAATCAAAGTCTGAACAAATGACCTTCATTTCTGAGAGTGTCAATATTATCCATTTATCTGCAAATGATCTGATGGCACCAACGAGTAGAGTTTCAATATATTATTCAATAGATTATTATTGAATACAATAGATTCTTAGCAAAACTATAAGAAGAACTAAAAAAAACATTAGAACTGTTTGAAATATCAGCCTTGGTATAAAAAAAAACGAAATGAGTTCATCTTAAAAACAGAAGTATTATTTGTCAAATACTATACAAAAAAGATTCACTGAGTAAAATTTGATCTTCGTAATTAATGCACATAAACCATAAAATCTGAATAATTAGTTGAAAATTCTTCATAAACTAATTATAACTGAAAATAGTTGGAAAATGTGTGCCCAAAACATACGGTATTTCCTAACAAAATATTTATACCTAAAATGGCTTAATTTTTCAATTACACGGGCATAAAATACAGAGGCATATTTTAAAATGTGCTAGATTGTAGAATGAAAGCATTTGTACTGAAAAACAAATTTTCAAGAAAAGTTATTTCATATTTGAGAAGGATCTCAGCTTCTCTAACCCTTGTCCCAAAGCCCACTGCAATCAGTGGGAGTACACTGACTTTGGATCAGGCCCCCAACATGTGTGCTACTTTTCCTAAAATGCGTCATCAGTGAAACATACGACTGAAACGAGTGTCTGCTTGTCTCCCATCAATGAGCAGTCCCCTCCCTCTCAGTGACATTCCAACACTTCCGCTTACATCCCCCCCACACACACACCCATGCACACTCTCAGACTACACATACATTGTTGTGAACATATGACAGATCAGGATAACTTCAAGCACATCACTGAAAAATGCAAAATGTTGCAACTTCTATTCTTATTCCTTTGGCAGAAATCTGCATTTTTTGCTAAAATCACATATAAGCAAAATACACTTTTTTAAATAATGCAACAAAGTCTTAAACTGTACACCTAATTTTAGAAGTTTCTACACATTTTAGTCACCCTGTTACTTATCTACTCATCTACCTTCAAGTTGAGAGACACTAGACCTTTTGCTTTTTGTATATAAAAGGCATTTCATTGGCATTTTGAACCAAAATGAATATTGAAGCCTAAATTCCCATGTAAAAAAAAAAATAACCCATCAACCTCCATACCTGCTGTTATTAAGTAAGCTGCGACTATATTGTGCTCAGTCTGTGAAAAGGCTGACTGAACTTCATTTTCGCTCTCTGAGGAGTTAGTTGAAACATTCCAAAACATTTTAGACTGAAGAAATTGGGGTATTCCCTCCATGTCAGTTCTTCAAGAGGACATACACAAAACACTCCAAGATCCTTTCAGGCAAATTCTTTCATTATGAAACAGACTCATTGAACCATTAAAAAAAAAAAGTCCCATCCCCCCCACCCTCCACTGACAAGCTACCAACAGGATTTAATTGGACTATGCAAAGGAGTTTACATTCCCAATTTGTGCAAGGAAAAGCTTCTAAGCAAAACAAAGAGCAGCACAGAACTAGGTGCATTTCCAACAAGATGCTTACATTTCAGAGTCTTATTGCTAAAGAGATTAGCTGTCACATGCCCCCACACTTTTTCCTTCAACTTCTTGTGCAACATTTCAGAAGATCTAGACAAGAGTTGGCTAGATTCAATAGAACTTCAGCCTTGTTTGGAATTAATCTAATAATCACAGAGCACACGATAGGAACACTAAAAATAAAAATGAGTTTTTCTAAAGTGTAGGATACACCTAATCTAAACTCCACCTTTATTCCTTACTATAACTTCTCAGAAGTTTTTGTTGATTTGATTTAAGTAATCCTGCTAGTAAATATGAACCTTTCATAATTTCCATATGCTAAACTCTCATAATTCTTTTACTTGTTAGCCACAATCCTTTTTATGTTGTATATTTATATGTTTAGTGCCCTATACCTACTGAAACTGAAAAGTTCTTTTTCCTTCAATTGAACCTAGTACATGAAGGGAAAGTGAACCCAGTCTTAGAATGTATGTAATCTTTTACCCTGATCTTACTAAGATAGCCAAGACATCTTGGGAAGGGACCCTACGGAAGTATGTTAAAATAAATAAGACTGGGTAATTGATAAGGGGGTGCTTATAATCTCAACTATGTTCTGTCATTTATAAGGGACATTTGTCATCACAGATGTTTTCTGCGATTTATGAAATTATGACCCATTGAAAGACGTTTTTAACGCAAAGGAAGTGCTTATTACAACAGGTGTTCTTAATAACTGAATTAGAAATTCCTTTAGCTTATCAATCACTTAAAACTAAGTTTCCATAAAATAAATTCTGTAAGTAATTACAAAAAACGATACATCAAAAACAGAACACATAGTGAAATTAAGAGTGGGAAGGTAATTTTTGCCTCACACCCTATAGAAGAAAGGAGAGTTTGGGAGTTAGTTTGGGAATAACCACAGCCAGAATTCCATCAGTTACCAAGGAAAAGAACAGGGTGCCGTCCTTTCACCATTAACAGGAGGAGGTAATGAAGGTTTCCTTTATGTAGTCTAATACTGTATTAATCTTTAATCTTTTTAATTAAATAATTCCATTTGAGCCTGTTATTTTGACATCTCCCTTTGTTATTAAATTCAAACACGCTACAATCAAGTGAATGGCTGAAATGAGAAAAAACACAACAGCCGCTATTTTCAAAAGTAGCGATTATGAGCGGTCAATTTGAACTTTTAAAGGGGCCTGATTTTCTGAGGGTGGGTGCTCAGCACTTTCTGAAAGGCAGGCCCTTTTGACGTGGCTCAAGTTGGACAGCCAAAACTTGAGGCGCCTGTGGTGGAATGCGAAAACTAGGTGGCTTTGTGCGCAACATACCTTACCTCAGTTGGCAACAGCCATACTTGGTAGTGCATTAAAGTATCTTAAGGAGAACACATCTCTTATATCTCTCTCCAGGAAGGAAGCTCTGTAGCCAGTCCAAACCTGGTACAAAAGCCTTACCTGCTAGTAGCAGCCCTACAACGTAATGTGTACAGAGTACACGACAGCACCCAAAATCACTAATTACGTTTGAAACTCTTGACCATTATAAATGTTTTAACATTATTATTTGATCTTTACGTTATAGTAGCACCGAGAGACCAACTAATTTGGGGACCCATTGTGCTAGATACTGTACAAACAGAGACTGACACTCCCTCCCCAGAGAGCTTACGCCACTTGTGTAGGGAAAGCCCCTGGCGGGCCGGTTTGTTTACCTGCCATGTCCACAGATTCGGCCGATCGCGGCTCCCACTGGCCACGGTTTGCTGCTTCAGGCCAATGGGGGCTGCTGGAAGCAGTGCGGGCCGAGGGACGTACTGGCCGCCGCTTCCAGCAGCTCCCATTGGCCTGGAGCAGCAAACCGCAGCTAGTGGGAGCCACGATCGGCCGAACCTGCAGACGTGGCAGGTAAACAAACCGGCCCGGCCCACCAGGGGCTTTCCCTACACAAGTGGCGTCCCAAGTTTGGGAAACACTGCTATAGAAGATCATGGATAAATCTGTGAGCTAGCCCCATCTCTTCTATTATGCCCAGAGATCTGCATTCACTTGTATAGGTTCTCGCATTGCAGCTAGTACTTGTATCAATGGGGTACTTTTTTGTCACACGAGAACTTGAGTCAGTCTTTGGAATGGGGGCAGAGTGGAAGTGTCTGTAAGAAGAGAAGAGATGATGTCTTGGCAATGAAACCACTTTCTCAGCACCTTGCTGTCTATATTTTACAAGACCAAACCATAAAATGTTTCTCCCCCACGAATACTGATATCTGGTTGAAATCTGTTCTTTGCTTACATTTTTTGGCACAATTTTCAGAAGTTCTATAGCTCCTGTAAATTCCATGTAAGTCAACTGAGGTTAGCACCTACGAAAAACAGGCCACAACTATTTCCAGTCTAAACTGAATATCAAACTCAGGTAATGGCGAATGAAAACATGCACTCATTTATACCTAGTCATCAGAAAAATTGCAGTTTTCTGATTTGTGCAGCCAGATAAATATCACAGAGGTACCTTATATTCCCAAATTAGGATTTGTTTAAAGTAAGGAAATTCTCAGCCAAAAAATGTCAAAATTAAATTAAGGCTAATACCTATCATTAACTTAGGGATAAAAATTCATATAAGAACATTGTATTTAGCAAAACAAAATTAAAAAACCAAAGCAAGAAATTCAGAATTAAAGCATACAATAAACCCAGATATTTGGATGTGCATATGGAAATGCACAATTAACTTACCAAACTACCTTAAATATATACTTAGCACTTTGCCCTTTAGCACTAGCATGAAAAAATCAGAAATTCAGACTACTGTTATCCATCAATAAGTGTTATCTGTGACAAGAACTAGAATGATTTATTCTTAATTATAGTGATTATGCCACATCTAGCCTTACTAAATGTCAAAGACACTCCACAGAAAATGTTATTTAAAAAATTCCTAAACACAAATATCTCACTGAAGGCAATCATTCCCCACTCTGTGAGGGCCCAGCCGTGCAAGGTTGCTGAGGGTACCCTGGTAAGCAGCAGATTGAGCCTTGTGATGCTGATCCAGTGTAATTAGATGTAACCAACAATGGAGACAAGAATCAGGAAAAGCCATTGCTCAGGTACACTTTTTTAATCCCACTTGTGAACTCTACAAGTTCATTGGCTGTTTAAGCCATAGGCTGGAGCCCTCTCAAAAGTTCTTAGAAAAAGTCGACAACCCAAAACCAGCAGCTTACCAAGCAGCTACAAGGGTCACAGAAAAGATGGAACACTGAAATTGTCCAGAGTCAATATTAAGGTAGTGTGGGTACCTTACCTGTGAATTTGCATATTTTCAGATGTTTGGGTTTCTTGTAAGCTTACTCTAAAATTTCCTGCCCTTTTAATGGCTGCTTTTTGCTACTCACAATTGGCTTGTAACAACTTTTACCTATAAAAAGTTTTACAGTTTGTCTGTGAATTACTCTGTATAGTTTCACTAGTATGTGGAACCACTAGAAAATGAGTTGTTTCATGCTGGTGAGTTTTGCTCTGAGTTATTCTCAGACTCTTCATTCAGCTTAAAAAGATACAATATCTAGAGTGCTTGTTTCCATCCTAGACAATATGTAGCTTTTAGATAGCTGAAGATCTGAGCTGGACAAAAAGACTTAATACAACTGTAACACAAACATCAAACTCTCCTCTCTGGCACCTTGACTCTTGTATTCACCCTTCAACTCCAAGATCACCTTCCTCACCACTGCTCTATCACCAGCACCACCCCACCCTCAAGTTTATAATGGATTTTATTTTCCCAGTATCACATTCAACACTCCTTCCTGCCTTTCAAGGCTATACAAACTCTGCCTCACACCTCATATGTAGTTGCCTCCCTTCCTTTCTGTGTGCTCTCTATGTCTATGCTATGCAAATTTGACTTTTCTACAAGCAACTATGCACTCTCTTGCATTCCATACCTAGAACATCCTCCCAAGTGTGAGCACTACAGTCTTCAAATCCTTCTCAAAATAGTTACACTTCCATCACTGTCCTCCACTCCAGCCCTCACTTGGGACACCAAATTATAAGGGTAGATTTTCAAAGGCAAAAAGGGCAGTTAAGCACCTGACCTCTCTTGAGCATCAATAGGAGTTGAGTGCCTGACCACCCTTTGTACCTTTGCAAATGTCCCCTTTGTTAAAAAATGACAGGGGACCAAAGATGATGCATATGTAACAGTAATCGTCCCATGTTCGTTTTCATCCTCTCACTTTGTCAGTTTTTGGTATGTTAAATATAATTTAAAATGGTAACATCCTTTGCCATAGCCCATTCTTCTTGTCCATAAAATACCAATCCTGTCTGTTGGACTGTATAAATAATGCAACACAAGGTAAGGGCATGCTTTGTGACTACAGGGGACAGAACCTTTCACTTCATTGGATCCAGTTTGGTCAAGACCAATGGAAAGCTTTTGTTGCTATTCAAGAGTTATTAGTGGCATCAGTAAGAATATTTCCACCTGTATCTATATCATGACTGTTAATGACAACAGATAAGAAAAGAACTGAACTAGCCATGGAGACTCAATTTACTCTTAACAGAGCAACATCTAAATACATTTAAAATCTCGGTTTAAGTGACTAGTTTAAGGTTAAATAGCAAATCTGTAGCAAAACCAGGAAGAAAATTTCTATCTCCTGAACCCAAGAGTACCTGTGCTTGAACAAGTAGACACAGTTTCCTCCCATAAAACACAAGTACCAGAATTTTAATTTATACTCTCACATCTGTCTGTACCCATCTATTATACTTAGATTGTAAGCTTCTTGGGGCAGGAACTGTTTTTTTGTTCTGTGATT